CAGCCAAGCAACTTCTGCACAACTTCTGAGATGAGCTGGGCTCTGGTTTCTGCACGCCCCCACCACAGGTAGCTCTCCTCTTTGCCTTGTCTTCCTAAAGCTGGTTCTCTCCACTAGATATATGTATCTAGATATATATATCTTGTTCTGGGAAGCCTATGCTCACTCCTGTCTCACAGCCACCAAGTCAAGGGGAATAACAATTTCCTTAAACCTGCCAGTGCAGCAGAGCAGAACTAGGACCAGAGCTAGCATCCACCCCTCCAGGGGTAATGCCAGAGTGAATTTGAATCATTCCCTCCACCAAAAGGCAGAGGGGGCTTCCAGTGAAAGCAAGGAGCAGGGGTGGCTTCTTCACTTGTGAAGAACGGGAAGGCAAACGCAGAATTCAGGAGAGATGTTCAGTCTGATCGTATTCAGGTGAGATGGATGCCTGGACAGATGGACAGGAGCAGAAAGGACCAAAGGACAGGCCAACGTGTCTCCAAAATGTGCGGACCGAGATACGATCAAGCTGAACTCCTGAATTCTCCCACCTTTGCCTTCCCGCTGTTCCCTGTGAAAACCTGAGCGTGGCCAAAGCCTCTTTGTGCTTGCTGGGGCCAAGTGGGAGGTGAGAAGTTGGGCTGCGATTCACTAACTTCTCACCACTTGTGCCTGTACAGGCCGTGGTGAAAACATCGCATGAGGGCGTCAGAAATGCTCCAGAAATAGAGCAGAATGAAAAATCGCACAAAGCTGCCGGTGAGTCAACAGCACCCTTGCTGCGGTGGAGAACATGAAGCTGGCAGGTTTAAGGAAATTATTATTCTTCTTGACTTGGTACCTGTGAGACACAAGTGGGCACAGGCTCCAATTTGGGGGTCCCCAGAACAATCTCTCTCTCTATATATATATGTATATATATATATCAAAGAGAATCAGCTTTAGGAAGACAAGGCAAAGAGGAGAGCTACCTGCGAGGGGGTGCAGAGAAACAGGCATCCAACTCATCTTAGAGACACTCTTGGAAAGACAAGAGGCAGCGGGGACAAGCTGCACCAGGGAAAATTCTTGCTGGGCATAAGGAGAAAATCATTCTGTGCAAGAGCCATGCAGCTGTGGTGTGGCTCTGGGACAGCCTCCATCCTTGGGGACTTTCCAAGACCAACTAGACAAGGCTTTGAGCTTTGACACCAGCCATGGTTACACTGCAGACCTCCTGAGCCCCTTCCGGCTTAAAATTTACCTGATGCTCCAACACGCATTGCACAAGGACGAGGTGGGGATTTTAAGACGACCGTGCAACGCTGCTCCTTTAGCTGATTTGGGAGATGGCCAACCACAGCTTGGATCTTCCATCCCGCCGATGCCCCCAGTAACCAGAGCCGCCTTGCTTCCTTCTGCTGACTTCACGAAATCTGGTACCACAGAGGAACTGGAGGAGCTGAGCATCGGAGAAAGTAAATCACTGCGGAAAAAATTGTGCAGGCTCTAAGGAGAAGCCTGCGTGCCAAACGACAGGTCTGCCATAGCCAGGCAGCTCCGGCGCAGGGTAGTAACAGTCAGAGGGTTGTATGTTCTGTGTTACGGTCTGAGAAGCAGCTCCTTTGGTTATGCCTGGCTCCGTCCTGGAGAAGCAAAGGTTTGGGCACATCTGTTCGCGGTTTGGCCCACTTCTTGTGTTTTTCCACTGAGGCGTTTTAGTATTTTTAGGCTGAAAGAGTCGACTCGGTGCTGCGCTGGAAGGATCGGAGCAGTCCCGCACGGACGGGACGCTGCCTGCTCTCTGCCCCTCTAAAGTGAAATGCAGAAATTAGAACATAAGAGAATAAAATACTGATAAAACCCTGCAGGGAAGGGTATAGTAGGAGCCACCATCCACTGTCACAACACAGCTGGGGTCGGGGGTGGAAAGAGGGAGCTCCAAGCTCACCAGCTGCCGGCTTTTTTTTTTTTCTAGGAGAAGCAGAGCCAGCAGATTGAGGGAAGAGCAGAGCCAGCACACACCAATGCTGGGAGGTTCCTGTGATCCAGAACACCATGCAATGTGCCCATTCGAACAGTATTTTTGGCAAAGAGAGAGGAAACACAGAGCTGGGAAGGTCTGGGCTCCCAGCCCCAGGCAGCCACCACCCCGAGCAATGAGGACCCGGCTGCTCGCTGGCCTCTTGCTGGCTGCTCCCTGCAGCACAGCCTGGTGACGGCAGCAGGCAAGCTTCTCTTCGGAAAGGATTTCACATTTTCCACAGAAATTATCAAAACTAGGAAACAGAGTCTGAGAAGGGGGTTGTGGCCTCGAGTGGAGAATAGCAGAGAGGCACAGAGATGTGGTATCCGTGAGGGAAAATCAAACCAAGACGTGTAGAGGTTCCCAGAGAGCAGAGAGACGAGACCGCGATGCCTGCTCCAACTCTGATTTATTGAACGTTACAAAATACTCTGCGTATATTTTCACATTAAAACAATATTCTTGCAAATAAGAGATTAAGTCTTGAGTCATTTGTGGCGCCCATGGCTACAGAAAACACTGACCCAGCTAGAGATTTAGTATGGCCCAAGATCAGAAATCAAAACCAGAATAAGGCATACCAGAAATGCAAAACTATATAAAAACCTTTTAAAAACTTCATGCTCATCTGGCGGAACAGGTGACGGGTAGAACAGCCTTCACTAAGCCTTACTGAACCCCGCTTTGGGTTCACTTACCCAGTGCATCTAACGATCCCCTTGACATCTGCTGCCTCAGCACACCCACGGGGCTGGAACAGACAATTAATTGCCTGCTTTGGGTCATTAAGAGCCCAAGGACCCCTCCTAGGGAAGAAGAGCACCCCAAATGCTCCCAGTCAGCTGCCATGCTGACCTTCTGGGTGCTGACCTGCTCTTGGGGGAGCAATTCTTGGCTACTGAGGTCCCACCAGAATTAATTTGCACTGTAGGCTGCTGCCACCGGGTCCCAGCACCCTTGCAGGAGGGACCAGAGGGGGCTGGCAGGCAGGTGGCGGGGACCTTTGAAGATGCACTCAGCTCCCACCCATCACCCCTGTTCCTGATGTACATTCATACCCGCTGCTTGCTCCGCGACCAGTCCTCCCAGCTGATGGGCCTCAAGCAACTGGAAGGACTGGGACATGGGCAGGATTAATGCCGAGGACGCTGTGCCGGGTAGCTGCCTCCTAGCACAGCCAGAAAAGCAACTATGAGCAACACATCCGGGCAACGGGTGCGAGGCTGGCCCAGCAGGCTGGCTGCT